GGTGGGGGTGGGATTGCTAATCAAATGGAAAAGAAAATCCTCACTGAATTTAATGAGAGTTTTTCAGAGTTATTGAACTTCCATCTACTAAGCTATCAATGTTCTTTAATCCTGTGATTGCTGTGATTGAGATCGTTAAATTTTGCTCTTTTCCTGTAGGATTTCTTGTGAAAGTGTATTAATTGATGGTGCTAGATGGTTTTTCTGCTATTAATTTGTTTTGGTTTGTTGGTTTTTTGTTTGGTTTTTTGTTTGGTTTTTTGTTTGGTTTTTTGTTTGGTTGTTTGGGGTTTTTTTGCTAGGAACTAGCTTATTCCTTATGATCCAAAAAGTAACTCTGGTATATGTGTAGTTTTGGTAAAAACACTTCCTTTTAAAGCATGTGTTTATACATGAGCAAATTCTAGGTATATGTTTATATCATACCTTTCTAGAGGTTGTTACACAGGAAATATTAGCTTTAACCGGTAGAGTTTGTTGGCCTCTACTTCAGCTCTTTTCTTTTTAATGTGTTTTAAGGTGAGTTTTACAGCTAAGATAATCTGATTGTTTGTGGCCCCACTGTTATGCAGTGCTGCTTTCTAGCAGCATAGTTTGGAGTGACCAAAATGTGGAGGAGTTAGAAGTCACAAACTATGTGCCCAGTTTTTCCAAAAAAGTATATTAAATGGAGATCTTAGATTAAATGCTAGGAAAATTGGATTAGTTGCAGAGTATGGCTATGCCTGTTAAAAAGGCATGGTAACTGTATAATTACTGCTGAGATATATACATAATCACTTTCAGAAATCACATATAAATTAATATATATGCAAAGTTTGTAGCATGTTTATATACCTCTGAATGTACAAACTAAGAGTGTATAATTACTGGAAATTGCTTGTGATAGTTTGGGCTGGGAACATGCAGTGTTGTGTTTCCACCTCCCAAGCTGCTATGTGTGTTAAAATTGCTTTGCTATGTTTCTGAGCAACAAAGCAAGCAAATTCTGGCTGTGAACGTTCCTAGGCTTTTCAGTTTCAATTGCTTTCTGTTGTATGTGTGTAGTGAACCTTAAATGGTACAACCTTGATTTCAGTCATGGGGAGATGTATGTATTTCAGTTAATTTGGTTAAAATTTTGTTCTACTGAAATACTGCCTTTGTCTTTGGCTTTTGTTGGCCCAGGATCTCAAACTGAGGATCTGTCAAGATTAGTAAATATAAATTAGTAAATCGGAGGTAATTCTCTGCTGCCAGTTTACACAAGTAAATTGTGGCTGTCTCTAGATAGCTATTTCTAGTAGTGATTAATACCTTAAAAATAGCAAATTATAAGTAATTAACAGTTGTACATGTTCACAAAAATATTGACTTTAGAAGTAGTTTTTCAGTATACTGCTACCATGAAAAACTATTTTACTTTTATAAAATAAAGGATTTTTTAAATTATTTTTTAATCCTTTGAAGCAGTTTCTTAAGTAATTTGCCCTGTTTTTGAGGACTCTTCAGCAAGTTTTCTGCATGCAGTTACAGCACAGAATCCCTCTTAACCTTTGAGTTTGTGAACTGCTTAGTATCTATACTGTTTTTACCTGCAGTAGAAATTTTACATGTTACAGAATGAAGTCATTTTTTATATGGATCATGTGAATGCCATCCGGGTTTATTTGGTGTTTTATTTTTATTGTTCTCAAACTGTTGTTGGCATGGTGAGAATAATTTTCTTGAAATATGCTGTTCTGTACAAAACATAGTAGAATAGTTCGTGAGTTCTCTGAGGCATGGCAAGGTAGTTTTTTCAGAAGGTCTGTTGTCTTTTTCATCACAAAAATGTATCGGTCCTCTTTTGATCCTTAACTCCTTAGTTTCAGTGGACTGTTGAACTGTGGCATAGGGGAAAAAAAGGAATAAAAAAGATGCCTTTAACTTCAGGAAATATACAGGGTACTGGATTCTTCAACAAATACTAATCTTACGATATTGCAGATAGGCTTTATTCCTGGAAATCAGTAATATTTTAAATTAGGTTTTCTGTAATTTCAATTTACATCAATTAATACCAGTAGATTTCTTAATTTTAACTTTATGTGTTATTCCTATTTACCAGAATATTAATAGAAAACTGTTTCTACAACAGGGGCATTGGCAGGATTAATTGACATTGCTGCTGACTGGATGACTGACTTAAAGGAAGGCATTTGCCTTAGTGCTTTGTGGTTTAACCATGAACAGTGTTGTTGGGGTTCAAATGAGACCACGTTTGAAGAGAGGGATAAATGTCCACAGTGGAAAACCTGGGCAGAACTAATAATTGGGCAAGCAGAAGTAAGTATATACCCGTTCTTTGATGGTCTTGCTCAACAACTTGACTGAACACAGAAAGAAAATAACAGTCTTAAGGTTAGGGTACTAGACACAGATTTGGCTTGTACTGTCTGCTCCATTTTTCAGCATTGGAATTGATTATTAGATTATAGTGTAATAAATGTGCATTTCATGCACTGCAAGGGGGCTTGGAATGTGTAAGGAAGTTATGAGAGTATAGAACTGTTAATAACATGAGAGTTTCTGTTCTTGATCATGGCTATACATAAAAAAAAAATAAAATGTGGTGATCTCCAATAACTAAGAATATATTGAGTTGTTTTTTTTCTACCACAACATTTTAAAAATAAAGATTATTTACTCAGTATTCACTAGATTTTAGCAGCTAATAGCTATTAAAAACAAAACAAAACAAAAAAACAACTGTCCTATATTTATTTTTTATTTTTAAGATGAAGTGTTAGAACACTTTCTACCTTGTATAATCCAGTCTTTGCTGATGTCCAGGTGTCATGACTTTATGCTTTTCAAACAAAGCTCTCTCTTTTTTGCCTTGGTAATAATTACTGTCCCTCAAAATATGTGCATAAGTGTACTTGTAGTAAGAGCACTTTTGGGTTATTTGAAGTAGTGATTTTGCTCCTACATCAAATTTATATTCTGACTTGTTTTTGGTTTTGCTTTTAGGGTCCAGGTTCGTACATAATGAACTACATAATGTACATTTTCTGGGCTTTGAGCTTTGCCTTCTTAGCAGTTTCTCTGGTGAAGGTATTTGCTCCCTATGCCTGTGGCTCAGGGATACCTGAGGTGAGGCCTAATTTTTATATATATTTATGTATATACACACACACGCGCGCACGCACACATCGATGTTTTGTATTAATGTGAAAATTGCTGCTGACTTACAGGATCAGGGGGAGGGCAAGAGGGAGTGCTCTGTGACTTTGATGAAATACATTAATACAAGTATTGAAATTGGAATAATGTAATTTTGCTAATTGTTCCTGACAATATCCCAAGTTTCAGAGAATCTCCTGACTTTGTAGATTTTGCCGCATGCTTCTGGCTGGAATACTTTTTAAGGAAGCATTTAGCTTAGGAGACTAGACTTCTGAAGAGTGATTTCCAAAGCTCCCCAAGAGAGCAGTGGTTCATGGACAAAATAGGAGTCCTTTGATACAGCAATTGATCTTCTGTTGCACTGGCTTTAATTGCCTTAACTAGCACAAACCATCAGACAGTCACAAAGTAAAATGTGTAACATCCTCAAAAGCTTATTCTTTTTGCAATTTCTGTCTGCTACTCTACACAGAATGAGAGGGAAAAACCCAAACTCAAACTGTGGGCAGTCTTACTTTTCCAGTCATTCTGTAAATATTTCTTTATGTATATGTACTGGAGAAGTTGAAGGACGAATCCTGCATCTGAATAAGCTTGGAGTACTGTGCAATTATTCCAGAAGAGATTTCATCTTAAATTGGTTTCCAAATTTAGCTAATCTTTAGTTTCTAGACACAGCTGCCCAGTGTTTCATGTATATCCTATTTATAGACATGTTGTTGTTTCCTATGACAACTATATTATTTCCGATATATGGGCATATTTTCCAGGCTAGTAATATAACACTGTTAGGCAAAGTAACACCTGAGGCAAATAAAGCATCTTTCTAGGCTGATCTTTTCCATCTTTACGTCAAAAAAATCTATTAAATTTTTATGTAGAGATGGAAAAACATAAGGAAAAAAAAACAGAGAGGGGTAAAATTGGTGCAAGTGTGATATTGCTGCAATAGATGACCATGAGGATAGTTCTTTCAGGTTTATTTTTCCATTGTGAGTTTTCTGACTTTCACTTGATCATTTCCATCATAAACCAATGAATGCAGTCTTAGAAGCTACTGCAGATTAATTTTCTACTAGATGTAATTGATAATGTTGTTCAACATGCACCTACTGGAGCAATCCCAGAGGAGGCCACAAGGATGATCCGAGGGCTGGAGCACCTCTCCTATGAGGACAGGCTGAGAGAGTTGGGGCTGTTCAGCCTGGAGAAGAGAAGGCTCCGGGGAGATCTTATAGCGGCCTCCCAGTACCTGAAGGGGCTACAAGGAAGCTTGGGGAGGGACTTTTTACAAAGGCAGGTCGTGACAGAACAAGAGGAAATGGCTTTAAACTGGAAGAGGGTAGGTTTAGATTAGATATTAGGAAGAACTTTTTCATTGTGAGGGTGGTCAGACACTGGAACAGGTTGCCCAAGGAAGTTGTGGATGCCCCCTCCCTGGAAGTGTTTAAGGCCAGGCTGGATGAGGCTTTGAGCAACCTGGTCTAGTGGAAGGTGTCCCTGCTGATGGCAGGGTGGTTGGAACTAGATGGTCTTTAAGGTCCCTTCCAACCCAAACCATTCTGTAATTCTCTGTTATTGTCCAGTGTTCAAGAGTAAGCTGCAAATAGAAAGCCCCTGGCAACCAGACGGACTCAGTGTAGCAATCTGAACAATACATGTTTTTAAGTCTGATAAAGTTAGTAATTTAAAGAGAATTTTTTGAAGAAGTTACACAGCTAAAAGTAACTGTTTTCTGAAGAAAGGATAATAAAATAACATATATTTTTTCTGTCTTCCAGATAAAAACTATTTTGAGTGGCTTCATCATCAGAGGTTACTTGGGGAAGTGGACTTTGATGATAAAAACAATTACTTTAGTCTTGGCTGTCGCATCAGGTTTGAGTTTAGGAAAAGAGGGTCCCTTGGTACATGTTGCCTGCTGCTGTGGGAATATTTTTTCCTACCTTTTTCCAAAGTACAGCACAAATGAAGCTAAGAAAAGAGAGGTATGTTCTTACAAAAGCGTTTCTAGAATGTATTGAATATCTGTGCATTTACACCTTTGTTTAAAAGATTGTATTTGTTCTCTTGGACAGTGTTTAGGCTTGGATTTTCAATGTTATTTATTTTGTTAAGAACAATGTATTATCCCTAGCATTCTCCAAGTTAAATTGTTTCTGTGTCAGAGTAAGCTCGCATTTCTCCCACCTCAGAGACCACTTGATTTTACTTAAATTCTTTCTATACTTGGATCTGCATTTTGATAATTGTTGATTGTCTTCAGTTGTGAGGACAGCAGAGGACTTTTGAACCCATCAACAAAATATTCCTGGGAAAGGGTTGGTGACAACAGTGTTTCTGCTCTATTTCACTTTGTTGTTGTTACTGAGAGTGTGGTGGGTTAGCCTTGGTGCTCACCAAGCCTCTGTCTCCTCCTCAGCAAGACAGCAGAAGAAAATAAAATGAAAATGTCATACGTCACAATAAGGACAGGAGGATCACTCACCAGTTACCATCACAGGCAAAACAGGGTTGACTCGAGGAAGATTACTTTATTGCCAATTAATAACAGAGTAAGATAGTGAGAAATAAGAACAAAACTAAAAACACCTTGCCCGAACTCTCCTTTCTTCCCAGGCTGAACTTCAGTCCTGACTCTTCTATCCCAAAGTGGCACAAGGGGATGGGAAATGGGGGCCGCAGTCAGTTTGTAACGTTTTGTGTCTACCACTCCTTCCTCCTCATGCTCTTCCCCTGCTCCAGCGTGGGGTCCTACTCATGCGAGACAGTCCTTTGTTAACTGCTTCAGCAGGGATCCTTTCCACAGGGTGCAGTCCTTCAGGAACTGGATCCCCCACAGGCTGCAGTTCCTTCCAGAAAACTTGCTTCTGCATGGGCTTCTCCCCACAGGCTGTGGCTCCTGCCAGGAGCCTGCTTTGGTGTGGACTCCATAGGCTGCAGCTTCCTTCAGGGCACATATGCCTGCTCTGGCATCTGCCTGCTCTGGCATGGGGTCCTCCACAGGCTGCAGTGTGGAGACCTGCTCTGCCACAGTCCTCCATGGGCTGCAGGGGGACAGCCTGCATCAGCATGGTCTTCTCTGCAGGCTACAGGGGAATCTGCTCCAACACCTGAAGCACCTCCTTCCCTTACTTCTTCCCTGACCTTCATGTCTGCAGGGCTGTTTCTCTTGCATTTTTCTCACTCCTCTCTCTCACAGCTGCTGTGTTGTGCTTTTTACCCTTTTTTATCACAGAGGCACCACCAGCATCAGTGACAGGCTGAGCTTTGGGCAGTGGCATTTTGGGGCAGCTGGAATTGACTCTATTGGACGTGGGTGCAGCCTCTGATGTCATCTTACAGAAGCTATCCCTGCAGCCCCCCTGCTACCAAAACCTGGTCACATAAACCCAAGAGAGAGAGCCATGCTGATGAAAGCAATTATAGTCACAGAGAGTAGCAAGATTTAACATCCTTACTAATTCAATAACATTTTGGTATTGTAAAATAAAAAAGGGTGTCATCCCAGCTGTGCCTCAGTTCTCAGACTCAACTTCTGCTTCTAGGAGACTGCAGAACATGGGGAATTTGTGTTCACTTCCTATTTCAAAGCTGTGTAGTCTTACCTATGGTTTAGCTGCTTAGCTCAGAATAATGTAATAATTATTTGAGTTTCTCTGTGTACTCTTCCACAGGTGTGTAAGGGCTACTGCCTGGGGGTCAATGTTCTTGCAAGGACTTTGTCCGATATAGTTATAAATAGCGTGCACTTTAACCATCCTCATACACTGAACATAATTCATCCATGATGCTGTAGGACCAGCTGCTGCTTCAGTTCCTCTTGATCTCTCTCTTAGTCTCGCTTCGCTTCAGATCTTTTTGCACATTCTTACTTGAAGACTACTGAGCACAAATCTCCAGGACTGACATAAAATCTCTGTAGTCTGTCATCGATTTTTGTCCCTTGAATAGTATTTGTGGTTGCTGGACTGGTCTCACACACACATCTAGCACAGAGAAAGCTTACTATAACTTCTTGAAAATGAAATATCAGCAGTTTCATACTGAAGCGTAGACTCAGACTTGGGCGCTTTGCTGGGGAGGCTTTGAGCAGCATCCTTGGGTTTGTCATGGCTAGTACCGGGTCAGTGGCTGCTGTGACCACTGGCCACATCTTATGAGCATTCTGATACACTTGCTTGATGCTTTTCTGTTAGCAAGTCTGTGTGTCTGTGATAGAACATAGAAGAAACTGGTAACTGTGATGAGATTCTGTTCTTCATGTTTAAAGCCTTTCACAAACTGCAACAAAACCCCTCACCATTGCTCTATTCCAGGTGTTGTCAGCTGCCTCAGCAGCAGGAGTATCTGTAGCTTTTGGTGCCCCGATTGGTGGAGTCCTTTTCAGTCTGGAGGAGGTATGTCAAGAGATGGCACTAAATGATAGATATTAAAAAAAATAGTATCTCTTTTAGCATGAATAATCTCAGATTCCATTAAGCTGCAGAGTCTTTCCTAAGAAGGAAATTATTTTTGGACCCACATTTCAAAGTCAAGAGTCGCTGTTACTGGCAAACTCCTAAAGATATTCTTTCTTTTCTTTATTCTCAGTTATATATTTTCAGGACAAGGGCTGAGTCCGTTAATAATCACAGTTTACATACAGATAAAGATACAGCAGTTTTTCATTCTAGGAGTGTATTCTAAAAACCAAAAAAAATTGGAGCTCTTATTTTGAAAGAGGCTTCAGAAACCTCTTTGATAGTTTTGTGAAACAAATTTTTAAACATTACTTTTCTTAAAGTTTCATGCACTAAACACAATTGAGTACATTAATTATCAAAAAGGCAAATATACTGTAAAACTGACCTCCAAGGCAACCAAGCTTTCTTCTCCAAGAAATGTTTCATATTAAATGAGTTTTCATTAGTTGTTTCCAAAATACATAAGAATCTTATTTAAATCATTAGCATTAAAAAAAAAAAAAATCTAAAAATCTCTGAATTGAAAAAAGGAAGCAAAATATTATTTCATGTATAATTTTGCTATATCATTAGGGGATTTTGAGGAATTCCTTTGTTGCCAAAAAAATTCCAAAAAAGCTCTCTTGAAATTCAAATCAGGCTATGTGGGGCCTAAGTAGGAAACTGCATGCTCTGTTTTGAGGATTTTTTTTTTTTAATGTTGTAATTATACATCATAAAAATAACACATCTGCCAGAAACCTTTCAATGTCGGTTGAATGGAGACAAAATAGTATTAGCAGGAAATGAGAACAGTGAGTACACAGTCTGATTCTTATGGTTGCTAGAAAGAGATACTTATAAACAGAGAAACTTTTAAACATAAATTGCTATGCATTATTTCCTAACAGTCTTAAAACAGTAGTGGTTTCAATACTGCTTCAGTATTGTCTTTAAAACTGATAAAAGTATGAATTGTTGTAGAACTTTGTAAAAATGTAGCATGTGCTGAAGCATCGGTGCTCAAAATGGTGGGAATAATACTGATAAAGTAAAAGTACTTTTTTTAGCATGTACCATGTGAAGAGCAGGACTGTAACACGTGCCTAAAACAGTCTTCCCAGTATTTTTAATTGAATCACTAATAATTCTCATGTATTGTCTTTTGCAGGTCAGTTACTATTTCCCACTGAAAACTTTATGGAGATCATTTTTTGCTGCTTTAGTAGCTGCATTTGTTTTAAGGTCCATCAATCCTTTTGGTAATAGCCGCCTAGTTCTTTTTTATGTGGAATATCACACTCCTTGGTATCTTTTTGAACTGCTTCCCTTTATTCTTCTGGGAGTATTTGGTGGGCTCTGGGGAGCATTTTTCATCCGAGCAAACATTGCATGGTGTCGTCGACGCAAATCTACGAAATTTGGGAAGTATCCTGTCCTGGAGGTTATTATTGTTGCAGCAATAACAGCTGTCATTGCATTTCCTAATCCGTATACAAGGCTAAACACCAGTGAGCTTATTAAAGAGCTCTTCACAGACTGTGGGCCATTAGAATCTTCCTCCCTCTGTGACTACAGAAACGATATGAATGCGAGCAAAATAGTAGATGATATTCCTGACCGTCCAGCAGGCACTGGAGTCTATTCAGCTATATGGCAGTTGTGTTTAGCACTCATATTTAAAATAATCATGACAGTCTTCACCTTTGGTATCAAGGTAAGTGTGAATGCAGTGGCTGCGTCATTTTCTGTGATTATTTAATTACTGCCTTTCTCATTTTCCATCTCTCAGATCTAACAGCTGTGTTTATAGAATTTTCTTCATGTGTAGTTCTTTTAAAAAAAGGTCTTTTTACCATTGATTAGTAAGCAATTCTTACAGAAAACAATACTAAGTTTAATTAAATTCAAACTAGCCCTTTGTTCAGCTTAATAGAAATGTCTGCTAAATTTAATAGGGAACAGTAACTGGGTGGGTGGATGGCTGTTTGTATGGGCCTGGTTCAGTGATAAGGATGACTCTAAAATTTCTGAGAGCTGAGTTCAGATGAAGCTCAAACATAACCACTCAGGTTCCCTAGTCCTGTTACATGGAAGAAGAAAAGACTATACCTCTTGAACAACTTGTAAGTTTATTTTTAAACCCCTCTTTGTGTTCAACACATAAATGAAATTACTGCAGACTGTCAAAGGGAGCTGATGATTTTTTCCTTCCTGAAATTTCCAGTATTGCATGTTATGACTAGAAAGCATGCTTTGTTCATGTGACTGTAATGGGAATTTCTTCTCTAGTATAAAGCAGCACAATTTTTGTCTTTCCTGGTCATTTCATAAATCTGTTTTGGAGCTCTCCTCAGTGTCTCTCCAACCTGTGGCTGTTTTCTGAATGACATATAACTGTCATGTCTTCATAATTTTCTGTGTTGTCAGGCTCCCTTCATAGTTTCTTGCAAGTACATCATTATCACATGTATCTTCACACAAATGTGTTGTAGAACGTTCACTAAGCAGGATTTGCGTTTAAACTGGCTTTAACTTTTCAGTCTGCATTGCTGTTCCATGTAACTGCATGCATAAGAAAACCCCCAACCTTCTGAGGGTCGTTGAACACTGGAATAGGTTGTCCAGAAAACTTGTGGAGTCTCTAACTTTGGAGATACTCAAAACCCGAGTGGATGCAATCCTGCACAACCTGCTGTACTTGACCCTGCTTGAGCAGAGCTGTTGCACTAGACAATGCGGAGTGATTATGTCCAAGCTCAGTCATTCTGTCTGTAATTGATAGAACAATATCGTGTTGTGTTGCTTGCCTGTTGATAAATTAGAAAATGTTGCAGTCTGTTATTTGAAGTTCTTTTCCATATATGGGTTGATAGGTAAGAGAAATCAGTTGTGTATATTTTAAATGTTAGTCTCCCATAGGTCAAAATCTCAGACATTATTCTATAACGTGACCACTCCAATCTGTTGTATTCACTTACTGTATTTCACTTAATGTGTAGGGCTTTGCCCTTCTAAGCACTTACCATTTCTTACCATTCACATGTTCATGGGCATCTGGCTCTTTCTTATGGGATTGCCACCACTTTGTGTATTAGAATTCACTAGATTACAGAAGGGTAGAACTTACACTTGGTTTTGGTTCATTTTCTCCTAACTTCAGCATCTGCAACTCGGTGGAAATATTTTTGTGAAGTTGTAAGAATATAATTATCACTTTGCCAATAAGCAAGGAGTCATGCTGCTGTAATTAATGGGACTGTGCTACACATATTTTTTCTGAAACTGTAAAGCATATGGCTGATTAGAATGTCAGCCAGTATCTGGAGATCTGGAGAAGGCAATGTCACTTTAATGTTGTATTTATTTGCATTTTAAGCTGCATTTCTATGAAAGGAGGAGAAAATTCAAATTTTTTTTTTTTTTTTTAAAGAAAGAAAGAAAGAAAAAGAGAAAAAGATGACTTTGTAATTTCAGTCTTTATTAAGGATCATCTGGGCTGTCCAGGTCTGTCCATGGAGCTGTAGCCATGTGCAAACACACTTGTCTCCCCTACAGGAACTATTGTCCTGTGAGGGAAGCAAAGCAACTTAGCTGCTGCCTGTGAGGCACGGTGATTCCTTCTGCTCTTACTGCCATGAGCAAGGATCACCACGAAGCTGATCTGGCAGTGGTTTGTTTGCATTTTTTGGTCTGGTTTCTTTGTTGTTTTTTTTTTCCTTTCAGGCTTTTGTACATATACTGTACTGATTATTATCACTAGACTTGTTACTGTGTCTAAACGCTGATGATCAACAGTTGGGGTGGGATTACAGCTTTGCCTCAGAACCTGACTGGTATGCAACTGCACTACCAAATAAGTGGAAAGTTGCACCCATATCCTGATTTCTTGCTTGTTTCAAAGATTCCATGTGTGCCACAGAATAAATCTTTTTCTCTGTAGTGTAACTTCAGTTAGGCTGACATGCACTGGAGAAGAAAGCTGAGACAAGGTAGAACCTGACCTTTTTTCCTTGCTTCTCAGTGAAGCTTCTTCTCCACTTAGCTACTTGTGATTCAGGGGCTTATGCAAACAAACACAGCTGTAAAATAGTACTTAAGGTAGTCTTGAAACCATTATCCACATATGATGGAAAGAAGAGAAGGAGCTGTAGGTGTAAAATGTTATAGTAACAAAGGACCAGAAACATTTTGGATGTAATTTCCATGTGGAGACTGAATTCCTATGGCATGCTGCTGTAGCAGACTAGAATCTGAGGCAGTTTCAAAGATTTATTAAATTACTTTTATACCTGAAATGTTATTTTTTCAGGGTGCTATTGAACTGTTCACCAAAAAAGAATTTAACTCAAGAAAAAGTTTGGATTTTCACAGTTAGAAAAGGATTTAGACTCATGATTAATTGTGGGAAATAACAGTAGAGTATAAATGTACAGTTTGGATGTTGCACTAAAATGATAGGATTGAATAGTTACTTCTGTCAACACTGAAATATTAGGTAAGTCAGGGTGAGAATGAAGGATTGTTAAACTTTTTCCCCAAAACCTGTGCTGCTGGCTTTCAAACACAAAGTCTGCTTTGTTTGTTTGTCCTTTGTTCATCTGTTAGAAATCATCATTGCAATAATAATAATAATGATGATGATGCAAATAGATTCTGAAATACAGTCCTGCACCAGCTATTGGATTCCATGGCAAAACTTATAGTTTGGGATTGCACAATACTGAAATTTCTCAGCAGTACAGTGGAAAAAAGCCAAGTTATGTGCCCTGTTACACCAGGAGTGCAATTTTTTAATGAAGTTATTTTGACAAGATGGGTTTAGGTGCATTTAGACAAAAAGTAAAAATCCTACTACTTATTTGTAGTGAGATCTGTACCTCACTCACGTAGAAGATATTTTTATACTAACAACTGCTGTGAGGAGAAGCAGCGGGCGTTTCCAGTTTAGTGAGTCATGCAGACACCAGTATGATTTTTGGAAAGATTCAACAGCTGTTTCTCAGATGAACACTCACTCCTTATGAAGCTGCTGATGAAAGCAATAACATTTCACTAAGCTGTGTTGGTATGGCAAGGCTGTGTGGCCTTTTCAGGTTTTAGTTAATAACAGAAAAATGGTTTAAATAACTAAAATTACAGTAGGAACTTTTTTTTTTTTACGGTAATATGTTACCTGCTTTTTGCAATGGGAGTTCTCCTCCCTTTTTCTTTCTTTGTGTATTTAGCATTCTGTATACAAAATTTTGTATGGGAAACTGCAATATAGTGAGCAAAACTTATTTTAAAAATCACCTATTTAGTTGGCCATCTAATTCACAGCAGTGTTAGGAAGCAATTTGGGAAGGTAGTCCTATGTGCAAAGCTTGTTTAGTAAGTGAATGTTGACTCAGAGGAACATGGAAGTAATAAGGGAGATGGGAGATAGTAAGGAAGACTTCTCTGTACTAGTAGCACAGCTCAGATTACACATAACAGTAAAAATTGTGCTGTTGGCACCGAGAGTCCTATTTATTGTCCTGTACTGGTAATAGATTGTATAAATAAAATGTAAACAAATGTGCTTGTAAAATGGATTCAGCTAACCAGCTTGATCAGAGGTATCAATAGCATTCTGTTAAGTTTTACTAACCTTGCAATGTCAATTTACATGTTTCTAACATGACAATTTGAGCATTTGCATCACTTTGTCAAAAAAAACCCAAAACAACCCAACAAAAACACCCTTATAAAACTATGTATCAGGTATGTTCCCATCAGCCTGACAACACTTCTTCTGCTTTTGTTGCAGGTTCCATCTGGGTTGTTCATACCTAGTATGGCAATTGGAGCAATAGCAGGAAGGATTGTAGGAATTGCAGTGGAGCAGCTGGCTTACTACCATCATGACTGGTTCATTTTCAAGGAGTGGTGTGAAGTTGGAGCTGACTGTATTACACCTGGTCTTTATGCCATGGTTGGTGCTGCTGCGTGCTTAGGTAACTAAAATACAACACAGTAAATAAGCATCTGGTGTCTTGTATGTTGCCAAAATAATGATTAAAAATGGGGATATAAATGTGTGCAGTTTTGGAATACCTTTTTATATGGACTTCTCTCTCCTCAGAATAGTACATTCACTTCTCTACATGAGACTGTTGGATCCTTGTGATCTGAGGAATAACGTGAAATTTAAATCAATGAGAAACAGAAGAATTTAAATAGGACTGTTTGCTTTCTTTTTCTGGTATCAAGAGTTGTCATTAGTACATCAGACAGAAAAATATTTCTTGAAATGTATGAAGTAGAGGATTTACAGAGACAGGCACTGTTGAAATTATTACAAGGAGGTGACGTGATCAACTGCCACATGTACGTGAATTGCAAAAAAAAAATTCTTGACATTCATAATCCAAACAAAACTTTCAGAAGTGTCTGATGATTTGGGGAGTCCAGCTTGAGATATTTTTAACAAGTCTGATTTACAAACTGTTGAAAATCAGCTTCATGGAAGGAGGCGTAAGTTGGGCACCTGAACTAGGAGAGGTTTTTTGAAAGTCTTGTCTTGTCCTGGCTTATGACTTCATTGCCTTAGAAATTAAACTTGCAAGCTATTAGTACAGATTCTGGGAAAAAAGTAGACCTTTTCCTTAAGGAAAAGTGCATTTGAGCGACCATATAAACTAGTGGTACAAATATAGTTTTTTGGAGAGGTTATTGTTTATTAGATCACTTCCAATTGCATTGAAAGAAAGATCATATTCTTTTATTGAATGAAGATATGGTATCAGAAACCTTGGCAGAAAAAATGTCTTGAATATTAACAAAAGAGAAATAAAATCCCTGTCTTCTCCCTTTGTCCAAGAAAGAGATTTCATCAGCTCAGAATTCTCTTTAGCTTTTATGATTCAGAAACAGCATTAAATTTCTAATCCTTTGGACAACATAGCTGTTGAATTGCTACATGTGACTTCCCTGCATTAGTTCCATTCTTTTTCCAAATTCTCATTTTATTTCCTTGCATTTCTCAGTAACTTTAACCTAGATGTGGTATGGAGAAATAGGTTGTTTTATTCTTAGTGAAAGAACTGCACATATTTTTCAAATCCCTTTATTCTCTGACTTTCTAGGAATTTTCCCTAAATTTCCCCAAAAACTTTCACTTCTAAAAGTTTTGTATTCAGTTTTCCTGTCTGCTTCTGTTTGTGTTGTACAGATTGATGTTTGTCAGATGATCTTTCATGGCAAAGTTATGTTTGTAGTTCTCAACAGGAAGGCAGGAAATTTTAAATGCATTGTTATCTGATCTTAGGATGTTACTGGCTACCGTTTTTCTTGCAGGTGGTGTGACAAGGATGACTGTGTCCCTGGTAGTTATTGTCTTTGAGCTAACAGGAGGGCTGGAATATATTGTGCCCCTAATGGCTGCAGTCATGACCAGTAAGTGGGTAGGAGATGCCTTTGGTAGGGAAGGCATCTATGAAGCACACATCCGACTGAATGGATATCCTTTCCTGGACGCAAAGGAAGAATTTACTCACACAACACTGGCTGCTGATGTTATGAGACCTCGAAGAAGCGATCCACCTTTAGCAGTTCTGACACAGGATAATATGACAGTTGAAGACATAGAAAACTTGATCAATGAAACCAGCTATAATGGTTTTCCTGTTATTATGTCAAAAGAATCGCAGAGACTAGTGGGCTTTGCTCTAAGAAGAGATTTAACTATTGCAATAGGTAATTATCTTCCAGTATTACATGATTATATATGCCAACTTAAGTGATTTTATACCTTAAAACGATTTCCTCTGTGTGTTTCTAGACGTATTTCAGGTTCAGATACCTTGCACAGGCTGTTCTTTTATTGAAGTATATGATTATCTTCAGTAGCAGGCTCTGAAATGAAGTTCATCTCCTTGTCTCTGTCATAAAAACAAGAATAATCATACTGAAGTAGGCCAAAACATCATCTAGTCTGGTATTTTTGTTTGGTTTGAGGCTCTTGCTAGTATCTCTTTTCCTCAAGTGATGCTACATTAACATTCTTCGAAATTGAGTAATCATCATTTTAGAACAGCAGGATTCTGTGAGAATTACTGTCAAGTAATTTTAAAATTTAAATATATATCATACTTCTCTCTAACAGTATGTTATTTACTGTTGTTATAACAACTAATACTGTATTATGGAGAGATAAGTGAAATATTAATTATTTTAGGTTTCTGTTTTTCAGTTTGTTTGTGTAATGGGAAATTTGTCCCTGGGCCCGTGAGCACACAAGCCCTGTTTGGGCCCTGTTGTGGTTTAAACCCGACCAGCAGCCAAACACCACGCAGCTGCTTGCTCACACTCCCCTTCCCCTGGCTCCAGGGAGTAGGGAAGAGAATCAGAAGGGTAAAGACAAGGAGACTTGTGGGCTGAGATAAGAACAATTTAATAATTGAAATAAAATAAATTAATAGTAATAACAACAACAACAAAAAACGAGTGATGCACAGTGCAGTAGCTCACCACCTGCTGACCAGTGCCTGGCCCATCCCTGGCTAGCGATCCTGGAGGAGAGAAATCCTGAAAGCACAATGCCAGAAGAGAGCAAGAGCTTCCCAGATAATCCTCATCTATATACTGAGCGTGGTGTTGTGTGATTCGGAATATGCCATTGGACAATTTGGGTCTGTTGCTCTTGCTCTGCTCCCTCCCCCAAGCTTCTTGTGCACTTGCACACTAGGAAAGCATGGGAAGTTGAAAAGTCCTCAATTTCTTGGAAACAACTAAAAACATCAGTATATTATCAACATTCTTCTCATACTAAATCCAAAACACAGCACTATTATAGCTACTGAGAAGAAAAAATAGCTCTATACCAGCTGAAGCTAGGACAGGCCCTCTTTCTCTGGGTGAGTATTAGAACTTGGGTGATACTTGTGACAGTGCTTTGTGCACTAGCACGAAAAATTCTGTGGATTTTGAGGATACTGTCATAACCAAAGGAAAAAATCATTATTAGGTAATAAAATGTTACAAAACTGTAACATTTGGTGCATGAATTCAATGATGGAGGTTGCATCTTCAGCTACTTTTCTTTTTCGTAATTCATAAAATCGTGCATTAGTAAGTATCTCTTTTACAAAGACACTTGAGAAAGAGATGAAAAAGTCTCCTGAAACTTTTTTTTTCTTAATATTTTGTGAATACAAGACTGTTTACTTCAGTAAAACTTCTGCCTGTGGTCTTAATACTGTGTACACTATGGTATTACACTATCTAGGATGTATAGGAATGTCCAAAACTTGGAAATTATTGTAGACATCATACTGTTTTAAGTTTGTGTTTACTTAAGAGTAAATGGGGGAATAGCAGAACATTCTTCTACTAACAAATACACTTTCACAGGTAAGACTCATTTCAGCTGCTGGGATTGCACAGTGCTTGGTCTTGGATTTTGGCTGCCTTAAGAGAGTCATTGTGTGAAATAGTTCAGGGTACAGGGAGGGATGCTGATGTCACCACGGTGATGAAGACATGAAGGGGAAGAGGATCTAGTTCACACAGAGCTAAATAAATTCATTATAAACAAGAAGACAAGTTTTCAGAGTGATCAGAGATGAGTTCTTTGGTTTCAAGCCAACAATAATTACAACCATTGGAATCATGACAGGAAAGCTGTTAACTGGGATTGGCTTTCCCCTTGACAGTTTTTTCAGCAGCCATCTATGTGCTTCCTGTATGTTAAAAGTCTTGCCACCTCTTTATAATAAGTAAAAGTTACTTACTGGAGTGAGAAAGGTAGTAGCTGAAGAATGGCTAAAGCTGTATGGTAGATGGCTTTTGTGATTTTGGCACAAACATTTATTGGGGATAAAGCAGTGGCTATGGAAACACATCAAAATAGCATTTATCAGTTCAGAGTCTGATAGTGTTGATTGATCTCTCTGTGTGTTTGCACTAAATTATCTTACTCCAAAAATGTAAATTCTTCCTCCTTTGGTGTTCCCCCTCCCTCTTCTTTTTTTCTTAAAGAAAGTGCTAGAAAAAAGCAGGAAGGGATTGTTGGCAGTTCCAGGGTCTGTTTTGCCCAGCATACCCCATCACTTCCAGCAGAAAGCCCTCGACCATTGAAGCTTAGAAGCATACTTGATATGAGCCCTTTCACCGTGACAGACCACACACCAATGGAAATAGTGGTGGATATTTTCCGAAAGCTGGGTCTGAGGCAGTGCCTTGTAACACACAACGGGTGAGTACAGTGGCAGCAATGCTGTTCATTTTGTTAGAGACAGCAGTTTTCACTTCCAGGATCAGAGTATTTGAACCAGGATATATTCCAGGATCATGGTATTTGAACTCATGGTACTGCAACTGAGGACCCCAGCTGTTTGTTAAGAAGGAGCTGAGCTGTAGCACCTCTCTTAAATTCTTACTCCTCCTTTGTATTCCAAGTAAGCAGGCAGGTAACTTCAGTCATTTTAAGATATTCTTTTAAAAATTAGGTCTCATTCAGCAAGTTTTGTGTGTGCAACTTGCATGTGGAGGAGACACAACTTACCTTGCAGAAATGAAGTCTTCTGTGGTGCACAGTCTAAGGCTTGTATTTCCCCATCCTTAGATATGTTCTGGCAATGTATCAGCTATTGAACATGTACAGATGCCTGGGTTTGTAAAAAGTAAGGGGGGAAATGATCCAGTCAGTATCTCCTCTTCTAGAGTTTAGTGATGGGGATTACCACCAGGCTCTTGTGTTTGGCATACTAACAACTAAATAACTGCTACTAGTTCTGGAACTTCAATCTGCAACCTTTGTTTCTACACTTCAAAATATTTTGAGAAAGTATTTTTCAGATGTAGAATGTTTGTAGATGAGACTATAAGGAGCTGTCATATGATTACCCACTAAATAAATCAGCCCTAGGCATGGAAACATAAATGTTCATTTTAATTGCCTCTTATTTAAAATGCTGCTTTTTTCACATGATCTTTCTCTGCTGTAGCTGTTCCTTTAACATTCCGCTTTCTTGTATCTCTTGCGTTAAACACCTGACACACAACATGGCAGCTCCTACCACAGTATCTTGCTTTCTCTTTAGCGTATCTTTTAAGGCATCTGGGGAGAGAAACATTATCTGCTAATCCATGTTATTTAGGATCAATGTCCATGGGACAAAACCCAGCAAACCTAAAATATGGGTGGTACTTTGTTTTGCTGTCAGCAAAAGGACTGCTGCTATAAGTGGCAAGTATTTAAATACCTCATGGGTTTCCAGGTTTATTTTTACACATGTATTTTAAAACATTTATTTTAAGTGTTCTCCTGCTCTTTTTTTCTTCAATGCTTCCCTGTATTGAATGGCGAGTAGATGTTTTCAGAAGCACACTAAAAACCTTTCTCTGATGTGGAAAGGACATCATGTTCTGACATCTGGAAGTCAGTGCAGGCATGCAATTATTCTTGTTTTGGGGAGGGCAATTTGAATTGATAAAACTTCAGTGAAGAATATTTAGTATGATTTTTTTTTATTCGTTTCTGTTGTGGTTGAGTGCTCAAACATTGACATTGATGTCAAAAATCAACTCTAAAGAAAGCTTAATCGTGCAAAGCTATGTCAAACTGTACTATAAATTTTTTAACAATTTTGGATAAAGTAGGAGCAAATATGTATGGCTTTAGTAATTTGCTGATTTCAGGCATTCATATTAATTGTCCTATTTCAATTTACAAACTTGTGACGTTCCATGAACACACCGTCCTTTACAACAAGGTCAGATAGTAAATACCTAGTACTAGTGATATTTAGCCATGTCATATAGCTATGTGGACATCAAGGACTAATCAGTATTTTGGCAAATTTCCTGCAAATTGAAGATACCTACATGAAGAGACACATCAATTTACTAGTTCCAGTCCAGATTGGAACAGGATCTGTGCAGAAAGTGGTGCTGATGACATAGAGATACATAGCGACTCGGCCTCACTCTCTATTCCAGGGAGTTGCTCTTGATTTATGCTGTCATGAATGCGAAATTGGTCTGAATTTGTCTGTTTCTAGGGACAACAGATAACCCTGCTCTGTAGTGCAGCCTCAAACCTCAATTGCTATGACTTTACACAGTTAATAGTTTGTTCATCTACTGTGGCTTTTTTAAATGTGGATAGCAATTTGTATGTGTGAGAAGTAACAACTAAACAAAGGAAATAAAGTAGATTTTAGTTTCAGTGTCTCTGAAACCTGAAGAGACATGAATATGGGAAGAACGGATTAACTGTGCTTCCCTGATGTGTACTTGATATGAGAAACATACTGCTCTGGGGTGGTTGAAGATCCAATTGTGTTCCACATTTTGGGAGATAAAGAAAAAATGCAATGTCTGGGCAAGGGTACTGACTTTGAAATCATCTTTCATTTAATTATTTCATTGGCTTTCCTGCAACCATTTATTTTTTCTTTTAGTTTTGCTCTACTCTAATCCTTTTTCATTATGATTAGAACTTTTTTTTTTTTTTATTTCACATACAGTTATTAGCATAACATGATCTGTTTCAGGATTGTCTTGGGGATCATCACAAAGAAGAACATATTAGAGCATCTCGAGCAACTAAAGCAGCACGTCGAACCCTTGGTGATTAGATATATCAGATCTCATAATTAGACACATTAGAAGTCAGGAAGCATGAAACTTGTGAACTGTTCAGGGCTTTTACGACATCGGCTGATAAATACTCATGCTAAAAATTTTTATTAAACTATAAAACTATGTGCAAAATCCTTTTGTAGAAATTAAGTTGTTAATATGGATATGCTGTTAGTCACAACATTAAAGGAAAGTAAACAATAGACTTTCTGATATGTTTGTTCTTAAGAACACGTAGATCCATCTAGTTGATCTGCTGATTTCCCCAGGTGGGAAAACACGCAGCTAGGAATAACTTTTTCTCCTCCTAATGCAAATTAAGATTTTTATATATGCCAATTTATTTTTCTGATCTTGACAGCTTTAAATAGCTGTTACATAGCAACGTAAGTATAACGTTTTTTGAGAAGCAAAGCCAAGCATGTTTTCAATGTGTCACATCATTAGATCTTCCCTGTAATCCCCCTTTATCAACATGATTTTTTAAAAGTACTCTTATTTTAGTAAACTCCTGTGATTTTATGTAAAGGCCTCTGATTCTTCTGCTGTTACCTACAGCAATTAATGTACTACCTTATAAAATGTTCAGTGATGCCCTAAGCCACTAAGTGGCATGCTACTATGTTGACTGTTGACTTCAGAATCTAGATACTGTTTTAACCCTGATGTTGTGAACTAACCTTAAACAGAAGGTAGACTTTATCATAATTTGGACATGGGTTGCTAGCTACATCTCTACTAAACCTACCCACCAAGTTTAGCTGCTTATGTGCAAAACATGCTAATTGTGTTCTCATTTTATGCTAATATTTCACAAGTATTTCATGCGTCCTTTATTAAGACAAAATGAAACGTACTAACCAGAATAACAAAGGCAGCAGCTCATTCATTCTGTTCTTTGCTTCTCCTGTGATATTATCCTTTCGGACAGTCTCATCCTTTTTGATATTTCACAGAGTTACCGTTTTAAAAGCCATGAAGACTCTGTCATACGAGCACAGTATCTAAACTGGAAAATGAAAATTTTCTTTTATTATTCACAATTTATTTCCTAAAGGTGTGAACTCCAAAAACTACTTAACTATTGTTTATTTTACAAAAGTTTCATGGCTAATACAGTGTGCTCCTATGAATGCGTTCAGCCTGAGACAGTGTCTCGGACTGGGAGGATCCTTACAGTTTAAAAATGGAGGGAAGGGGAGTCTGATTTGCTATCAGGATTTTTGGCCATCAAGCGATACGTCACTTCTGATGGCTAGGTTGGAACATGCCTCCCTTATGAAATGGGATCAATATCACTTCTTTTTCATACCTCTTTTTTCTTTGTCCCTCTTTGTTACTTTTTTGTTGGCATATGCTAATCAAAATTTCATTTTTGTAGAAACAAAAAGTTAAACAAAAATTGTCATGGGCTCTACTTGTATTACTTGTATTTTATTAAAGTGGACTACAGCTGTCAGAGACCATCTGATATGGTGTCTCAGCATTGCTGTCTTCTAACAAACCGGTGGTTTCCTCAATATTTTGATTAATAAAATGTTTTTGTTTAAATAAGAAAATCAGGCTGTTTACTTTTGCTCTATTCCTGTCAACAAAAATGACTTGGCTAGAGATTTGTTCCGCTTTATTATTTTCCTGCTTGGATTAATATCAACTTTCTGTTTATCTTTTTCAGGCGCCTCCTTGGCATTATAACAAAAAAAGATATCCTCCGTCATATGGCCCAGACGGCAAACCAAGACCCCGCTTCAATAATGTTCAACTGAAACCCATAGCTGAGGAGAGAGAGGAAACGGAAGAGGAGGTTCATTTGTTGAATAGCACAACACTTTAGTCTGGGGAGTACTTCTAAAATCAGAGACGAGAGCTGGGTTTTTTGCGTAACAGTGCTGCTGGAAATGAGGAGTTGGTCTGGGGGAGCACGTGGCGAGGAGGAAGGTTGATGGGAGCATGGGAAGGGAGAGCTGCTGTCCTGCACTGGATGCGTCCCGAGACGTCAGGTCTGCCATGATAGTGCAGTGGGTGAGCCGTGCGAGGCAACGCAATTCTCCAGCCCCAGCCTGGTACTTCAGCATTGAAGAGATGTGTTATTAGTCCCTGTTTCTGGAGGGATCATTCTGAATTGAGCCATCTTACGGAGACTGAAAGGTCTTGCCCTTTTTACCATTGAAAACTGTTGTGTTAGCTCATGAAACATCACCTTTCTACATTCCAGAAGAGCTTTATTTCTCTCTCTCCTGAGCCGTAACAAAGCCTCTTTAAAATTGGTGGGCCCTGTTGAAGCAGTTTTTTCTCATATTGAGATGTACTGTGAGTTGCTGAGGTTTGATCGCAAGAAGGGAGGTTTTTCTTGTGCCATTAAATGTGTAAGTTTGTACGTCATGAAATGCTTGGGGCAATACAGAGCCACTGCGACAAAAACAGATTGAACAGGTAATACCGTGCAAGAACCATGTGAGACTTCTTTCAGCCCATGTGCTGTTGTGATATGAGAAAAATTTAAACCAGGTGAAACTGGTGTTTCAAAGAAAAATGCTGTTTTTGCTGCAGAAAATATGAATAATGTGACCTGGTCTTATGCAATTTTTGTATTATTGAAAACACTATGATATATACCAATGTTGTGCAGTATAAGGAAAAATACTGCTATTCTACTAGTTAAGAGCTGGAACAATTCTGTATATGTGTATCTGGTAAAAACTGCATGCTACAACACTGGAGATCTTTTTCCCCCCTGTAAAATTTGAGAACAGTAATTTTTATTTTTTCTTCTCCACAAACGACGTTCCACTGCTGACATGGTAGGAAGAAACGTAACTCATAACTTGCACTAAATGTATATTAATTTTCTTGGAGTTTTACCATTCTTTATTTATATTTGTATGGATTAAAGAATTATGAAAAAAGAATCAGTTAATATCTCACATAACTAATTAATTACCTTTTTAATGTGATTTTATAGAATAATTCATGATCCTCTGCAATTAATGGAGGATTAGCAAATGTTTACAACTAGATGAAGGGTTTAAACAAAATGGTTTCTTTATGATCCAACATACATATAAGATCATTTTCAAATATAACTTTCACTGCCGTTACCTTGAGATTTCCTTTGTCCTTTACTAGCAGATAACTGGAACAGTAATATTAAAATTTTATTTTAAAAAACTGCAGGGTTTAAAAAATAATAGGAAGAAAGCAACTATAATTATTAGATTGCTTTTGACTCTCTATTTTTTTTTCCAAAGTATACAGAGGTGTAAATGATAGGTAGCCACAGAAGATGAGCAGCAGGGCAGAACTGAATCCAGTACTTGAAACTTTGGCAGGGTTTAAAATTCAGCAGCAGCACACATGCTAGCAGGTGGACGGACAGATCCCCAACTTCTTTACTTTTTTCTCTCCAGTCACTGGATTAATTTGTTTCATATTCATTTTATCAAATGACCACCACCACGAACGCACGCAGAGGAAAAAAGGCAACATGCTATAAGCCTCAAGTTGGGAGAAAAAAAAAGTAAGAAATCTGGCTGACAAAAATCATGCTTTATAATGTGGGGTTAGATAAAATTTCCTTCTTCTAACAGTTATGCCCACAAGACTGCAAAAGTATAAATGATAAAAGTCTCAAGTAATAATCCAAGGTATCTCTAAGGCATTCATCACAGTTACCTCAAATGCCTTTATTTGCAAAGTACTCGGTATGATTTTATCTTAAGTACAGTAACATACTGAAACAAAATTCTGGTACTTCTGGCAAACTCTAAAATAATGTCTGTGCTTAAGTGCTCTGCTAAATTTTTACTGGTTTTTCTGAATATAAAACTGCCATCTACATGTCATCATCTCATCTCTTGCAGCAACTGGAACTAGTAGAAAGTGAAAGGTGCCAGTGGGCTCTTGCTGATCAGCCCCTGTATTAAAAATGGGTTTGGAACTGGAACAGGGAATCGGGCTGTGTTAAAATGGGAGTGTTGCAGCCATTAGTTCTGTTCTTCCACATGAAGTCAGTGCTGGCGGTTCAGAATTTGTTGTGTTACATTGCATAAGCCTGAAGAAACTTGATGAAGAGCGGGATTTGGCCCATTTATCGAGGCAGCTCAGGGAGTTGTCTGTGATTCTCATTTCTGTTTTCCAATGTTTTTATACAGTGGAAGAAAATAAACGCATTACACATCAAAATTGCTTTAAATGAGTTTGAAACCTCTGCTGTTCCTGATGTTCTCATAAAACACTGCTGTGTGTACTGTCTTAACTTGCACCTAATTCTACAGACTGTACTCTCTGAATTAAAATACAGTTCACACCCCTGCTGTGTTTTATAATTTCAGTATGGATCCCGAGTGCTGCATATAAATTGTGCATCCCTGTTCGCTCTTCTCACCTGCTAAGCTTTCCCTGGAGACATTCAAAATGTCTTCTGGTAAACATATGTTAGAGGTTCTGATAATGAAGTATGTGTGCCTGTGCTGTGCAACAGAAGTTTTCTAATGTAAAACTTTGAGCGCCTTACTCAAGTTACTAATTTGAAAAAATAAAAATGTGGTGGATAGGAGGGGGAAAGTGTCAGCATTTTTTTCTTTCTTTTTTTAAAAAAGACCCCTAAACATTCAGTTACTGGTTCATGAAGAATGCATTCTTTGTTAAACTGTGATGTTGCCTAGAGCTGTATTTAATATTGATCTTAATGTTTTTATTTATAATAGTGTGGTAGAGCTGCATATCATTACAGTAAAAATGCTGATTACTGTGATGATTTAATCAAACATTAAAAACTTCTGTATGACCATTTATTGTTCTGTCCTGTTTTCTCAGTTTTCACAAACAGTATTGGTGTTGATTTTTGTATTTATTTCCCCTGAGAGAAAATTAACAGCTTGTAATTTTACATAAAAAACTAGTAAGCAGGTAACAAAGAAAAGAATGAATTTTAGGAGGAGGTGCGGTCTTTGTATTGCCTAGTACTTGGCTACAAATCTGTAGACAAATCAACCCAATCGATCAGATCAATATTAGGTATCTTCTTTCCAAAACAGACATTTTAAAAATTGTTTTAGTTCTATGATTATGGAATCGTTGGCTTCCTGATTTAGAAGAGTTAAAAGTTGATGGTGCTTTTACCATCTGAAAGCCAGGATTACATAGTTTCTACATGGTACATTTCTAATACCTCTCTTTAAAAAAACCCCCATGGTTAGACATGCATTGATGGTGTCTATTTATAATGTGCAGCACTTCATTTTTTTTTTCAGTTGGTGTAACAGTTTTCCTTCTCAATTAGAGGTTAATAAGACTGAAAAATTCATACTAAGGTCTTCATTTTTGCAGATTTGGTATTTAAGTAACAATATGAAAGGTGAATACTTTGTTACTTTTGTGATTTACAATGAATGAATATTGAAGGTCTCTTCTGCTTGGAACATAAAACTGTAAGGGGGAGCAAGACTGAATTTTCAATAAAGTACCTCTTTGTATGTATAAAACATAAAATTCTGATCCAGTGGAAAAGTCCCTGTATGCTTGTGCTTATGTTTGAGTAAGTGGAATATTTATATGCTGATTGAAAGGAGTGGGGATCTCAAATTTACAACACTAGATGTGGCATGCAGTTCTGAGAACTGGAAATACCTTTTGGGGTTAAAAACTTGAGATAACACTTTTAAAGCACTCTGACTTACATTGTGAATTATTTACTAGTTTATGCTGGAAGGGACCTTTGGAAATACAATCATTTCCTGAAAAGCAGGGACACCTTTGGGATTTGAGCAGGTTGCCAGTGGCCTGCCGTCTGCCTGAGCGGTGCCATGAGGTGGGCGGCCGCGGGAGAAGCCAGGCAGG